AAATGCCAGGAATGGTTGTCCTGGCAACAGGCTCACAGCCCCACAATGAGAAGGTGGAAACAGGTAGATCCCCGAGGCTCACTGGCAGCCAACCTGGCCAAATCGGTAAGTTCTGAGCCAGTAAGAAGAAAGTCTCAAAAAACAAGGCACACAGCATCTTGAGGCAACCTCAGGCTGTATGTTCACACACAAACACTCGCACATGTTTTTACACAAAAGGTTTTAGGACCGCTTTCTGTTGAGGCTGAGTGCTGCAGGCCACAGGAATCTATCATAAGAACTCAGCTGGTGATGGCCAAGTCACTACTTGGAGGGATCAGGGAATTCCTCCAGAGGAAGCCAAAGTCCAGGGAGCATTTGGTGTTACTTGGCTTGTTATATATATATCAGCTGTCTTCTGTTAATCTGAAGACATTCTGAAAATCATGTGTGCCTAAATAGTTTTTCCAAATGACTTTTCCCTAAGAAGGGCTAACAGTGTGGACTGATCACTCTCTGGATACACATTCAAGGTATTTGGAGAACAGCCTCAGGAAAGGCTTTCTCTGGAATCAGATATCTCCCTTGGCCACTTTCAAGGACTAGCAATAATAACAGTCCACATGCAAGTCTCCTAGTTTAAGGTAAATTCCACAAGGAGACACTGCCTAGGTCAGGTGGACATTAAGTAATAGCTTTACACAATTTAGCTCAGACCCTCCTTTCTTACAGCCTTACTAATTTTATAGACCTCTAACTCCTTACCTAACCACTTCTAGGAATATTTAGATAACCTTCTGTGCTGACAGCCCCTCTATATGATTCTTATCACCCCTCCTTTTGACCCTGGAAGCCTGACAATCACTGCCTGAGGAAACTCTTACCTGCCTTTATGACCACATAGGAATTCAGGCCGGGTGACCTGGGTGGAGGGGAGGATTGTGATTGTTTGGGTATATAACTGTAAAGCTAGAGACAGATGGTGAATCTCCGTGTGCTGAGATTCTGATTTCCCGAAAATAGTCCTCGCCGTTAGTAGCCCTCTCTCCTGAGCCCCTGGGATGTGTAATATTAAGCTGGTCCCTCTAATATTATACAAGAGCTGAGGAAGCATGGCTAGAGGCTGTCGTTTCTCTGACAGCATGTCTTAGAAAGGGTCTCCTAGCCGGCTTTAATCCCAGCACTCAGGAGGCAGAGGCAAGAAGATCTACAGAGGCCAGCCTGCTCTACATAGTGAGTTCGAGGATAGTCAGAGCTATGTAAAGAAACCCTATCTTAAAAATTTAAAAAAAAAAATTTAAAAAAGTAAAAGTTTCCTAAGGAGCCCCAACCGCTGCAGAAGCTCTGTTTCCTAGTTCTGAGTTTCGGTTCAACTGATGAGCGTCTGAGGGGCCATCTTGAGCAATAGAGAACTTGGTCCAAACACCAAGTACTCTAGGTCTCTGTAGTCACCACTACACCGTGGTGGAGGAGGTCGGTACGGCCGTGACTGCCGGGCCACAGAAAGTGTCTGGAAGTGTGTGGAAACAAAGAGCTGTGAGAGGAGAGTATCCTGAAAGACCAGGTCCCACCCACCCGTGAGAAAGATCTTCGTTGATGCCGAAGAAGACACCACCGAGCATCCCCTCCGAGGCTGCAGTGAGTGACGTCATGACAGGCAGGGGGAAAAAGAGGGGCTTTGTTTTGTCACCTTTAACAACCGCGACTGGATAAGACGGCCATTCAGAGCCCCATCCTGTGAACACCCACAGCTGTGAAGTAGGAAAAACCCTGTGGGAGCAAGAAGTGGCTGGCGCTTCATCCAGCCGAAGAAGGCAGGCAGTTCTGGGGACTTCCGTTGGTGGGCGTGAGGTGGTGTTAGTGGCGATGACAGTTTTAGGTATGGAGGAAACTTCAGTGGCCACGGTGGCTCCAGTGGTGGCGGTATGTATGATGGCAGGGGAGAGCGCTGATGGATTTGGTAAGAATGGAAGCCACTTTGGCGGTGGTGGACGTTGTGGTAATTTTGGCAGTTCCCACAATCTGTCTTCAGATGGGGAATCTACGACGGGAGGAGACCTGGG